TGATCAATTTAAACAATATTATTCTGTTCTATACCAATCTGAAGCTGAAATAAGTTTGTCTGAGATTCACTCATTCCTTGATTCCCTGGATCTTCCGAAGCTCAGTCCTGATGCTCAGGCCTCCCTTGACAATCCTATATCGACTGTAGAAATAATGAACGCAATTAAATCAATTCATAGTGGGAAAGCACCAGGCCCAGATGGGTATCCTATAGATTTTTATAAAGAGTTTGCACCTAAGTCATCACCTATTTTGAAGTCCGTATATGATGAATCGCTTATTAAAGGAGAATTGCCCCAGACCCTCTCTCGGGCAACAATCTCGGTACTGTTGAAGAAGGATAAAAATCCCCTAGAATGTAGTTCGTACAGACCGATTAGTTTGCTGGGGTGTGATTACAAAATATTAACAAAGGTTCTGTCACAACGGTTAGAAATAATCATACCTACAATCATTAGTGAAGATCAAACAGGCTTCATTCCTGGGCGACAGTCATTTTTTAATGTACGGAGACTATTTAATGTATTGTTATCCACCCACTCAACCCTACAACCTGAAGTTATCCTGTCTCTTGATGCCGAAAAGGCGTTTGACAGGGTTGAGTGGGTCTATTTATTTGCAGTCCTTGAGAGAGTTGGAATGGGTGCAACTTTCTGCAACTGGGTTAAGGTTCTGTATTCAGCACCTATGGCCTCTGTCCGAACTAACAGTACTATCTCGGACTATTTTAGGCTTCATAGAGGAACCAGGCAAGGCTTTTATTTTATTTGACATTGCAATAGAGCCACTAGCAATAGCCATCAGAGCGGAGAGTAAAATCAAGGGTATCACTGGGGGCGAAACAAGCCATAAGACATCGCTATATGCGGACAATTTGCTTATATACATGTCTGACCCAGTGGAGGGTGTACCCCACCTTCTGGAGTTACTACAGAGGTTTGGGAAGATCTCAGGTTATAAAATTAATTTATCTAAAATGCTACTTTTTCCAGTAAATGATTTGGCTAAAGAGATTACATATGACCATCTGCCCTTTAAAATGGAGAATGAGAAATTCAACTATTTGGGAGTTATGATAGCAAGCACAGTTGAGGCTCTTTTTAAATATAACTTTAAAACAATACTGGAGTGCACCAAAAAGGACTTGGACAGATGGTCGAAACTGCCCATTTCTCTAGCAGAACGGATAAACTCAATTAAAATGACAATATTGCCTAAATTCTTATATTTGTTTCAAATGATTTCCTACCAAAGTCATTCTTTGCTCAAATTGATCGTCTTATTACTTCATTTATATGGAACAAATCAACAGTACGTATGAAGAAATCAAACTTGGAGAGAGCTATACCAGAAGGTGGTTTTTCCATTATGATTTCCTCCAATTATGTTTAACCACTTATTCACAGCGTCACGACTAGACCTGGCATTTTCAGTCTGGCACAGAGGTGGCTTAACTTTTTGTGATGACTTGTTTGAAGATGAAAAATTTCGATCATTCACTTCTCTGTGCCAGGATCACAATTTGCTGAAGTCTCATCAATTTAGATGTTTCCAAGTCTGCAGTTTTGCTGCTAAGTATTTTTCAGACTACTCTGATCCTACCCCTAAAGACCTAGCATATTCAGCTCTCAATGTCAACCCCTATAATAAAGGTACAATCTCCAAAATATATAATATGATTCAGAACAATACCAATTATACATGGAATAAGACCAAAACCGCATGGGAAACTGATATTGAAGAAACTATCCCAGAAGAAGTCTGGGATGAAATAATTTCATACATACACACCTCTTCTTTCTGTATACGACATGGGCTTATTCAATTTAAAATAGTACACCACTTACATTATTCCAATGATAAATTAGCCAAGATATATCCTAATGTTGACCCAAAATGCCCTAGATGTCAGTTTTCTCCTGTTTCCCTAGGTCACATGTTTTGGTCTTGTCAATCTCTAACAAATCTTTGGTCGTCTGTTTTCAAATCACTCTCAGCAATAGGGGGTAAAACAGTGACTCCTAATCCGCTAACTGCAATTTTTGGAATAGTCAAAGATGGGAATGGACTTTCCCATCTTCAGAAACATGCAATTGCATTTGCATCATTGCTTGCTCGCCGTCTTATACTGCTCAATTGGAAAGGAAAGAGTCCTCCTACCTATACTAACTGTATCCGGGAGGTGATGCTGTTACTGAATTTGGAGAAAACTAGGTACTCTGTACGTGGAGCAGTGGAGAAATATAACAAAGCCTGGTCATCATTTATTAATCATGTTGAAAATCTGACCCTAACATAAATTACTCTGGCATTCTTATAGCTGTTAGATGGAGCATGGATTAAGTAAAACATATGTGACTCTGACAATGATTGTGATTCTCTTGAGTTGATTGTAAATGCTGACAATATCTGGTCTAGCAGTGTGAGTTAGTTGTTTTAGTTTTTTTTTTTTTCCCTAAAGTTTATTTATTTTATTTTATTTCATTTATTTATTTTGTTTCCATTTCTGTGTTGTTTTGCTTTTTGTTTCTTAATGTGTCGGTTTAAAATAATGGCTGATACATATTCTGTCACCACCACTAAAACTTGATTGTCAACCCTGTTGTTGATCACCTGGACGGGGGGAAGGGGGTATGGGGTTTACACTTATATCTTGATTGTTCAAAACTCAGATTTTGTATTGAAAAACTTATAAATAAAGTTGTAAAAAAAAAACAAAACTGTGTCGTTTGCCCGACAACCGCATTGGAATCGAGCTCCTTCCCCTCCCTCTTCTGCTTCCCTTGTGGCAGCTGCATGCAAATCAAGCACCCTGCTGAGCAGCATGATGTCTCCCTCATCTGCCGTCATGGACAGCCATGTAACAGTAGTGTTTAAAACATCTAAATACAGGCAGTCTAATGTGGGCAATAACCCAACATTTAGTTTAACAAGAGACCTGCTGCCTGGTGTGAGTGGAGACAGACGCCGAATTGCTTCCCCATGTCCACCAGTCTTTTTAAATGAAACTTAGTATTAAATAATGTTGACGTCTCCCATGTCGGGTTTGTGATAATTAAATTAACCAAAAATGACATGCAGTTTTGGGTTGCGGTGTGTAAGGAGGACAGAGGATGGTTTATTTTATTTATTCAGAGAACTGTGCTTTCCAATTTTGTATTAAGTCAATTAAAGTGACTCTTTGTCATGTTTAACTTGTTTCAAAGGCATCTGTATTTTGAACATAACAGAGCACAATACAAATTAAAATTGTAATTTCTAATGATGACAAGCAATATTTATGTGCAATATCTTATTTACACAAGCACAGCGAGCAGTCCGAAGCAGGTGTAGATTTTGTTTGTACCTACGAAGAGATTGGCGCTACTAACATACTGATGAATACTGAAATACACAAAATTTCTTTCTGCAAACAATTTACACACAACTTTGTTCTGTTCACATTTCATTAATGAGACCCATTGTTTTTACCTGTGAGATAAACTGTATGACTCAAGACAAACTGCAAAAACTACATTATGGATAGGGTGCAAAATAACAGCAGTAGAAATAAACAGCATACGTGATGAGCGAAGGGGTTTGATTTTCAGAGTGTTTGCCTTTTCTGAGATTGAAGCAACCTGCCAGCAAATCAGTGCTCCCTGCTCTGTTCGTGTTTGCTGCATCACATGTGCACCATGAACACACAGGGAGTCAAACTAAAATTCTGTTTCACTTTCTCTACAGATTTTTACACTCTGACCATAGCTCATAATGAATGACCCAACAACATTAAGTATGCTGCTGCCGAGAGGGGGCCGGATGAGGGGAACGGTGGGTCTGACAGAGGCAGTAATGGTGGGAATTTTGGAGGGGAAGTGTTTTAGGTGTATGATGGTGCTGTGTGTGTGTGTGTGTGTGTGTGTGTGTGTGTGTGTGTGTGTGTTGGATGATTAGGGAATGCATTTATATGTGAGTCAATATTTGTTTATTTGCCTGCATCCTTAGCTCACAGACTACACACACACACACACACACACACACACACACACACACACACACACACTCATGTTCTAATTGTCTAATGCTGCTGACAATGAGAAGCAGATTTACTGCAATCAATAAAACAAGAAGCAGCTATTGTCTTTTCCATGACGTACAGAGAATAACAGCATCGTGTTATAATAATGTGGTTGTGTTGTTTGTTGTTCTAACTTGTGTTGTTGTCATGATACCCTTCATAATAAAAAAAGCCTTTGAATTTTGTTGTAATATAATGCAGGCTTTGTAGTTCAGCTTTAATCTTTGTTTTTGCAAATGTAACGAGTCCAGTGAGGTTTAGGGGAAACTGAGTTAATTAACCCTGAGATGAGGGGAACTGAGAGGTAACAAGTCTGGATCAGTTACCATGGTAACTGACTCTGTGACCCACCCTGCTTGCTGGCAGAGTGTCTCTCCTGCCTCTTCCAGAGCCAGACACAATTTTATTTCCTCATTGATTCGGTTTGTGTCAGAGTGCAGACATTAACGGACAATCAAAATTCCGGTTGGTTAACAGAGCCAGCTGATAAGCAGCTGGAATGACACAAGTTATCCAGGATGACCCGAGTTTATGTAGCCTACAAGAAAACTCCACAGGACACTTTAAATGCACGTTAGATTGATATTCTCAATTTTCAGTTTTCCTCAGGAGTGTCTCATTCTCTCTACAGATAAAATCTATCATTTATTTGTCACATGGCATTGTAAAAAGTACAAATCCAGGGACTATGACCGTGCTCAGTAAATTTCAGTATTTGCTGTGTTCAAGTGAAAATTTGACCTAGAGGAAAGTGACCAAAAAACATTAGGTTCATCCTGTGGGGACCAAAAATACCCACAAGACATTTCATGAAAATATATTGAGTATTTGTTAAGATATATTGCTGTGGACCAGTGTCAGATTAACAGATGGAAGGAGACAATCTCAAGCATTTTAATGAAAAGTTCTTACATATAATCTATTTAGGTCAGTTCTTACCGTGTACTTCATCTGGAAGTTCTGGACCAGGTTGAGGTCGATAAACATGCGAATAGTAGCCAGCGTAGTTTCAGTGTCTGACAAGTCAAAGTCACTAAAGCTGAAGTCCAGAAGATGCAGAGACTGGGCTGACGGCACTGTGGTTACCTTCACAGACACACAAACACATTAGAAAAATAGCTGAACAAATCTGCCTGGAGCCATAAAACATATCTGAGCCTTATGGTAACACTGCGTATTAAGTCTAAATTAGCCTATCGACATTAAAAATAGGTCTAAATGAGCCTTCAAAAATATGTTTTACCACAAGATGGCTCCTCTGCAGTCTATGATTATTTGGTACTTTAACATTGCAGTGTTGGCGGTGAAAGCAAACAAATCTGTCCATGCACTATTAAATTCTGTATTTTCCTGTGAGACTTTTACTTTTACAGATTTGGAATCCATTGCTTGCCTAGCTAGAGAGCTCAAGGCTAGCCACAACTGTTGAGGTTTGGCAAAATTTAGCACATAGCACACATACATTAACATTGACGAAATGTCAAAAAAAAAAAAAAAATTAATTCAGTGCATAGGCTACATATTTTTACAATTGGAGAATGTAAGAATTTCTTAAGGCCTACAGCAATAATGAATAAAAATGAAAAAAAAAGCATAATTCAATTCTATGTGATACTTTTTGTCAAAGCTACAGGGAGCCACTGGAGAAGAGGCTAAAGAGCCGCATAAGACTCCACAGCTGCAGGTTGCTTACCCCTGGGTTGGACTAATCACTGGTAATCTTTTTCCAGATTCCCATTCTTGATTTAACTTTTATTTTGTTTTATATGAAAAAAACCTGACAGCAAAGTGCTGCTGCAGTTACAGTAGCAGCTTTAAATGCACAATTATAAATGTTTTTCATCCTATGATGTGTAACACATACTTTATGTCATGGTCTCTTGGGTTGAATCCACCCAAAAAAAATCAAGCCTGTGTCCTAGATAGCAAGTGACACATCCTATCTCTAGAACCCAAGGGAGGCCACTTAATCAGGTGATGCTGTTAGTTCAGCCACCTCGCCACAAGGACAACAGAACAGGACCTGAGACAGTCATGAGCTGTCACTGTTAAGGCTGTGACTGGTGTGAAAGCTGGCCTGCACTCATCGGTTCATATTTGGGAAGCTGCTTCAGAGTGCTGTTCGAAAACCACTTAGATACTTACAAGTGAGCTAATTAATTAAATCATAAGATAGTCTGGATGCTAGGATTTAATATTAAGTATTTTGTGTAATTTGTGTATAAACCCAGAGGGCCAATTATACCAGAGAGGTATGAGAGAGTGGGTTCCCTCTAATTACTGCTTGGGGACTAATAATATAATTTAATACTGATTTTAACTTACACTCTAGTGAATTTTGGTTGCCAATCTTATTTATTACCATGTAATTAAGAGATGTTATTCTAGATATTCACCTAAAACCCAAGAGTTCAAAAAGGACAAGAAACATTACCAAGCACATAGTCAGACAGCTTATGAACAAATCAACAGGCTGGTCAACCCTAACTGAAAGAGAAAACAAAGGGTAATGGTAAAAATATGTCTGTTATAAATATCCATCATAGATAGGGATGCACAATAATATTAGCACATCATTGGTATGGCCAATATTGTCTTTAAAATGAACTATCAGAATCAACCAACATGCTTTTTCATATGAATGAATATTACATACATTGAAAAACATTCTATTTCATGTCTCCATCTGCTGGTGGGCCATCATGATAAGAGTATGCATTAATAATGTGATGTTAATTCCACTACAGAAGAGACTTGGGGTATAACTAAAATTAGTTGGGGAAAAATGTGGATATATCGATATTGGTATTGGCTATTGGTCAAATGAGTTGGTACATATCGACATATCGGTTACTGACAAAAAATCCAATATTGTGCATCTCTAATCATAGATCTACTATACATAATATACTCATGTACACTACTGATTTTCTTGTCCAACAAGGGGCCACAGTTAGTGACAAAAGAGAGCGCACACTTTGTTATCTCCAAATAAAACAATGGCTCATCTGTCTAAACTGTTGTTTGCTCGTTTACAACCTGAATAACAGTCTGATCACTTGGGTTTCTTGAACAATAGAGTGGTGCATTTTAGCACACCTAGTTCCCTTGACTCAAAGCCAGTGGGTTTTTTGAATGGGTTTTTGCAAATGCTTAACAGCCTTTCACATTTTTTTTCTACAACATACAATATCTCAGTAAATACCCCATTGTGAATTTTCAAGCCTTGTGTTTTAAAAAAGGTGGTTGCTAACAAGTGCCTAAATGAGACTACAGAATGTCATTACACCAAACACAGCTTTACAGCCTTGTTGTGGTGGCTACGTTAAGTCATGTGACTGCGGTGTAGTTCATTTATAGCCGTTAGCTTTTTACTTCTGGTGATTGCATTTAGCAATCCAAAATCCAATGGAAAGTCCTATTGGCTTTTTGACAAGGAAACCAAGGCACAGCTTACTACTGTGTCGGCCAACAAAAATAACCTTCATCCCTGCAGCACTCTATTGGACCTACTTATTGTGATCTTGTTGTGTTTGACATACATGGATGAATACAACATTACCATAACTAATAGAACTGACAGCCTGAGCTACCTTGCTATATTAAAGTCCAACAAAAAGTATAACAAACTGCCCTGAATTTCCATGCTGATTAGCTAAACATTTTTTATAGAATCTATACTAACAATTATAGCTCATTCATTTTAGATTAAACTAAGGAATGTTGCTTGTGTATATTAAAGCCTCTGGAAACCCAAATCCACAATAGCCTTCTAACTATGTAATTTAGGGTCTTATGTACATAATATTAAACATGTAAAACAATTAGAAATCTGTTTCCATCCAAATTCGAAATATCTGTCTTTTAAGTTTTTGTACATTCTTGAAATTGGGTTTGATTTGGCCGTGGTTATCTCTGAGATTTATTACGCAATAAATTCCAAACCAATCATAAATCATCAGTCAGTTGTCTCATCCCGCCCCCCAGTGGCAGCGCAACAAAACCTTTCTGCTCCAGCTAAATCGAGAGAGACGGCCGGCCGGCACCGGTCTCTCCCGCTTTGACGGTCGGTGTGTGTGTCAGAGTAAAGACATATTTAATCTATTAAGACTGGATGTGTTTGAATGAAAAAGGCTATTATCAGAAGAACGGAGCAGATTTATGTTTTCAATGAAAACGTATCTCAATGAAGAAAGGCAAAGCGCTAGCCTCCCGTTGTCATTCATCTCAGCTAACAGCCGGGCTCCACCGGGCACGTCTGCAGCGCGAGTCCCGTAGCAGCTCGCCCCCCTGTTAATCAATTACAGCGGCTCCACCGGCAACGAGAGCGGCACGACAACTCTCTATTTTACGCCGCTCTTCTATTGTTTATCCGTGACACTGTGTCCGTGGCGGACATTTGAAAGCGAGTAGATGACAAACAGTACAGTAAACTTGTAGATAACTCAAATATATGTAATAACTTAGGTGGAAAATGCTTTAACATTTCATGCAGCCTACATGCAGCCTCTCGGCTCAGCAAACGGTAAACAACCCCGCTGGCTTCTCTACGTGTCGCTTCCGTACGCAGTCAGTGGAGCCCAAATGAATACGCCGCGACGCTACGCTGTACGTTTGCAGCCGGTGGAGCCCGGCCGTAACATTGCATGTAAAAGTTATGCTAACTATTCTACGAAGTAACATTAATATGAATCACAAAACATTTTGAAACTTACCATTCAGTGACCACCTGAAAGGAATCATTTTCAGCTTCTGCTTCGTCCTCTGAATCATCAGAGGGCTCAAACATGTACGGCTGGATTAAATTTGTGGCAGCCATTGCTGAGCCAGGGAGATGTCAATCAAAATGAGGGAGCTGTCAATCAGAGCGTTATCTGCCACGCCCACTCTGTCCTGGCAAGTGGTCTAAACAGCAAAATGAGCTGTTTTTAAACCAGGTTTTCTAATAGTTATTAATGGTTATTTTCACTCAGACTTTTGTGGATGATTAATGAGACACTCGACTTTGATATAATATATGCATTTTTACTATTTCATGCTGTGTTTCCAAAGGCTTTAAAATCACAGTGTATCCTACAATAAGACAATAAGACCTGGAATTTTTTATATATATCAGCCATTCTTGACAACTGGGACAAGTCATGTCCTACCAAAAAAAAACAACCCAAAAAACAAAAGGGGGATTACAGGATTTAATTCATGAAACAAATATAATTTATGAAATGTTTTGATCTGATTTAATTATTTTTTCTTCCAAATTTGTCCTGTGCCAGAAAACAGCCTTGTCCCAGAAACCTCAAACAACCTCAAAAATTTAAAAAATGTGTTAAAAGCCATCAAAATCCAAAACTAACAGTAAGTACTGATAACTTGGTGTGAAAATGTACTGCTATCATCATCTTTGTTTAAGAATATGTAGTTTGTCTTAAAGTGTTGGCCCTTTGAAGATGTGTCCCAGATTTCTATCAACTGTCTGTTGGAGTCAGCTTTATCCTAAGGACTTCTGTCTCATTTCCTTTTTTCCAAAACGCGGGCATGCTGCTCAAGTACAGGTAAGCTTTCTATTTTTTTGATAAATTAATTAAATATTATTGCTATCAGGTGTGTCTCAACCATAACAGGTCAACTCTGTAGCTCTTCTAAATCCAATCAATATATCCACTTTTTTCCCAACCTAATTTTAGTGATCATCAAGTCTCTTCTGTGGTGGAGTTTACATCATATTATGTATGCATACACTATGATGGCCCAACAGTAGATGGAGACATGATATACAATACTTTTCAATGTATGTAATATTAATGCATTGTACAAAATAAGAAAAAGAATGTTGGCTGATTCTAATAGTTTGTTTCAAAGCTGATATTGGCCGCACAGATGACGTACCGATATTATCAGCGTGTTGGTCGATCCCGATGTTCAAGCTACCTATGGAGTAGACCACATGTTCAGAGGCTCCTACAGATTTCAATTTAAATTGTTATTCATCTGCGCTTTTTTAAGAAAAACTGTCAGAGGAAGATATCCCTACAAGTTTTGTGCTGGCTACTCGACTTTCTGACTGAATTATTATGGCCGGTAAAAAC